GAGAAGATCAGGGGCTGGATTTAACAAGCATCATCATGGTGGTGGTTACAGAGGAGGTGAGTCGATGGTGAGAAACGGGCATAACTCGAATTCGGATTGTCATAACGGTGGCATTGATCGTCGGGAGGAAGCTACGGTAGCAGCTAGTGATGATAAGGGATTATCTGTTGCAGAGGAGAAGAGAGGTAATGGGAATTAGTCTTTGGTTTATCTTTAAGGCTTGCTTGCTTGTAAGAAAAGTAAACTTCTTTGGTGTTGAATCTTATCTGCAATTTGGTATGAGATAGTGCATTGTATGTTGCGGAACATTTTGATAGGCAGATTCGGGTTCCGTTACTTGTTTGTAGTCTCTAGACTCTCTACTGGTTTAGATATATGTGTTTGCGGTAATGTACATTGATTATCTGTTTGTGGGACAGATGGTAGCGAGAAACCGAAAAGTGATAGTAAAGTTTCGGAAGAATCTGAGTCTGCGGGTGGAGGAAATCAAGCGGAAATAGTGAGCCATAATTGTACCTCGGCTTCTAAAGGTACTTTGGAAAACCTGATTTCTCGAATTTTTCTCCTGATATTCGACCTTTTTAGAATTGTGCCGATTCTATGTTGTTTCTTTCTTGCAGATAACAGTCTCAGTTACGAGCCAAAGCAGGAAGAGAAAGATAAAGAGTATCCTGTAAGCATGGCAAAGACTTTTGTTGTCCAGGAGATGTATGAAGCGAAAATGGTGAGTTGGATCTTCTTCGATGTCTGTTTATAATATAGGTCTGCGGTATTAACTTGTTAAGAGTTGTTTCTTTTGTGTAGGTTAATGTTGTCGAAGGACTGAAGCTATACGACAAAATGCTTGATGCAAAGGAAGTTTCTCAACTCGTTTCTCTTGTAAACAATCTGAGAATTTCTGGAAGAAGAGGTCAACTTCAAAGTAAGAATCTTTTTATGCACTACTATAGTGAATTAACTTGTTTTTAGTCAGGTTCTTAAACCGTTGTTGATTAATGAGAAACAGGTGACACGTATGTGGCTTATAAACGCCCAAATAGAGGACATGGACGCGAGATGATCCAACTCGGTCTTCCCATAGCTGATATGCCGCCTGATGATGAGAGTATTAAAGGCAAGTCCTGTAAAATGTTATTTACTTGTAACTTTTGTGTATTGGTTAACATGAGATATAAGTTTTATGCAGATCGAAGAATAGAGCCAATCCCATCATTTCTCTCAGACATCATTGAACGTTTGGTCTCAAAGAAAATTATATCTGTAAAACCAGATGCCTGCATCATTGATTTCTTCAGTGAGGTTAAAGTCAAAACTGATTGCTTAATTTCTTGAAACCCCTAAAAACTATATGAGTTCCTTAACGAAGTACGAGTTTTTATTTCGTGTCTCTCTTCATTTACTGTGAACCATAGGGAGATCACTCGCAGCCTCATATGTTTGTTCCCTGGTTTGGACGACCTGTCAGCATCTTGTCTTTGTTTGAATGCGATTTCACATTTGGAAGAGTCATTGTCTCTGATCAGCCCGGCGACTACAATGGCTCTCTCAAGCTGTCTCTCACTCCCGGGTAACCAATTCAACTATCACTCAATTCTGCAAAGTCGAGATCTTTCAATCCTTTTATCATCAATTACATATCTGGTGTGTTGAACAGATCGGTTCTTCTGGTGGAAGGCAAATCGGCAGATCTTGCTAAGTTTGCAATTCACGCAGTTCGAAAGCAGCGTATACTCATCACCTTTGCTAAGTCTCAACCGAGAAACTGGGGACCACCGCCTAGCAGAACACCGAATCACCACATCCGTCACCCAGCCGGCCCACCTAAACACTACCCTGTTATCCAGACCACCGGTGTCTTGCCCACACCATCGCACCGCCCACCAAACGGAGCTGCTCAACCGATATTCATCGCCCCTTCTCCTCCGCTCGCTCCTCCAATGCCTTTCCCAGGCGCTGTCCCACCCGGTCCAACTGTCTGGCCACTGCCACCTCATCCAAGACACCAGCCGCCACCACAACCTCGAATGCCCATCCCTGGCACAGGTGTGTTCCTTCCACCGGGTTCCTCCCATGAACCGGTTTTACAAGGCTCCCCAAAGAAATCTGGCCACAGCAACGGAAGCAAATCTGCAGAAGGAAAGTTAGATTTGAAGAAGAAAGAAGAAGTTAGTAACGGAATTGCTGCAGAGGAACGCGATGGAAGTAATGGTAGCGGTGACGGTAAACAGAGCAATTAGCTGAAAGAAGAGAGATAGAGGGAAGAGAGAAGAAACTAGTCGGGAGAAGAAATCTGAGGTGCAGTTTATAAACTGTAAAAAAAGAGCGGCGAATTCGATTAAACGTTTATGTGTTTTGGCCACTGGAGAAAATTGTTTTTAGGAGAAACAAGCAAAATTTACCCGTTTTCTACTCTCTAAAAATCATTTATTTATCCTTACTATTTTAAATTCTACTTCTCCCTCATTTAGCTTTAAACTTACAATTGAATCATATCAATATTATACTTATACATTTGTTTATCACAAAAATGATTTTTGGACTACGAAAGCTTAAGACATGAAGCCCTTATCTGTTGTGATAAGACTTTTTAGCTTTGGTATGCGTATGAGTCGTTTTGGGGGATAATTTGATTCATATTGCAAGAACCATAATATTATATTTGTTTTGGGACTGATATTGTGAAAATGTTCTTGGGCTTGTGAACTAGTCATCCACAAAATGGAGTTGTATTGATGCCATTTCTATAACCACATACAATTATCGTTTTATCATATAATCCATTATGTCATACAATATATTATCTATACATGATTATAGAGAATCTGAGCACAAGACAAAAGATATATGACAAAATCATATCCAATCTTTATGGATGAGAATCGGACCCAGTTATGTCCCTACAACTACATTATTTGGAAACCTTGTAAATCAAGTTGTATAAAAATTAACAAATAACTAACTTAATCAAGAAATTAAATTAGTTTGATATGGAGGCAAAAGCGAAGATGATGCTTTTATGAAAAAAAAAAAAGCGAAGATGAAAATCCCTTATACGTAGGCAAAATGGATCATCAAAGGAGTGACTTCATCTCCATCTCAACAAAATTTCAATAATTTTATTTGGTAATAATCATTTTAAGCATTTTCAAGATCACTATTCGATTTATTTGTAACTTGATTATATCAGATCATGCATGCTTTTCACTTTGTCATTGTGCTATACTCAGCCATGCGTGTAAGAGTGCAACTTTTACTTATCAACAAAAATATATGATTTGACTTTTTGCTGTTGCTGATATACGTTCTTGTCGAATCACATTGTGATTCGACAATTCAACGAAACGAAGTACGGAATTAATATTACATCACAGAAGCAGTAACACGTCCCGATTTTAGGATTAAGAAGCGAAATAAAGAGCCTCCTTGTAAGAAGTATTCCAATGATGCAATACGTGTCCATAAACATCATAGAAAACGACACGCAGTTCGGCTTCCGAAATGTGAACCGACATGAATCCTTGACCGTCGTAGTAAAACCTCATCTCTTCTGGGTCCAATTTGTTCACGTCACCTTTCCATGCCTTTGATCCACCTCCACTTGTCATAAATTGTATTTTACTATACATACAATAATATTTAGTTTATTGATAAATAAAATTTCTACGAACATAGTAACGTCTCTAAAATACATATGTAGTCGTTTCTAAAGGAATTATTAGCCAAAATATGTATATAATCAACCTAATCGAATTGAAATAACATAGTTTCAATCTAACCATACAAAAATTTGAATTTTATCTAGATAATATACTCTTCATTAAAAATATGTTTACTATATATGTTTATCAGTTTAACTCTATTTTAGTTACTTTACCTGTCCACGCTGCTTATGTGCTCCAAGCAATGATCATGCCCATTTACGTAGAGATCTACTTCATTCGCCTAATAAACCGAGAAAAATATTCAAATATCATTAAATATTCACGTGCATGCATGTAATGTGAACTTTATATAGTATATGAATTCTTTTGGTACGTGGAGAATCGGTAAAAGGTGCTTCTCCAACTCGACGGTGTTCCTGTGGTGGCCTGCGCTTTTGATCGTATGGTGACCAATCACTATTTTCCAATTTGCACTTGACTCTCTCAATGCCACATCGACTTCCTATATAAAATATTAAAATTCCCATTCTTATGCAATTTTTCCTTTTCAAGATCTTGATTTAAAATGTTATATATAAGTCAAAGACTATACATATATACTAATCGTAATTTGGACTGGAACATTGTTACCTTTAAGAGATTGTTCAGATATGTATGCCTAGGTAATACGCCTCTCCAATCGTAGACATGCTTATTTGGTTGGATAAAATATTTATCGACGAATGGAGTTGTGTCGACGAACAAAAAGTCGACGATCTCTAAAACATTATTGAGAATAAAGTTGTTCCATAAATAAGTTAAATAATTGGAGAAATTTCGAAATTTTTAGAAAATATTTTAATTAATGAGTTACCAGCATTAACAATGAAAGATCTCATGCAAACCCATCTGTTGTCCAAAGCCTTGAGCATAGGGCTAAGTTGTGCCCCGACGTCACCTCTATAGTCATGATTTCCTAAAACTGTAGGTTAAAGAAAATATCATCAACACAATGAATCATATTTCGAAATTAAGATCCAATGGATATGATTTTTTAATTAATATGTACAAAATATATATAGGACTTTATTACCAGTATACCAAGGTTTTTGCAAGCTGGGCGCAGTATAAATGTTGGTAAAAGAATCTTGAAATGCAAGATCGTGCAAGCCGGTTAATCCATTGTCGTAAAAATTATCGCCGGTAGAAATTACAAAGTCGATATCTAATTTATCTCCAATTTCTCCCATCTGTTTAAATTTGTGTAGAATAATTTAGCGAGTCATTTCAAAATAAACAATGATGTCACTTAGAATATATGATTATATATTCACAGAAATCTGAGACTTTTGAATATATTGCATGAACATATAAGTTCAATCCAGAAGACAAGATAAGTAAGTACTGTTTAGAACCATCAAGTGTATTGGATTTTTGGGATCCGTTAACAGTTTAAGCATAATTAGCAGTGATTTCTTATAAACAAAATTATCTCCACTTTCTTCTTTTCTCTTGTAATATGCCTTTTTGTCATGTCATTTTGTTTCCTATGCTAATTTTTATATGACTTCTATTTCACTTTCTTGAAAACAAATATTAATTAAATTAATTTATCATCAAGTGCATCTTC